CAGCTTCTCCAGTCAAAGAACACTTTACAGAAGTAAATGCAAAAATGTTCCCTGAATTGTGTCCATGCAGAGTTTACACCCACTTGGCACAGGACCTGGATATTAGTGGAGTACCTGGACCTGTAATAGCAGAGCCTATTGCAGTGATTTCCAGCTTCCAGGGAGATCCCACAGGTATGGCACATACCTATGGGATCTCCATGGAACCTGGAAATCACTGTAGTAGTTTCTGCTATTACAGGTCCAGGCAATCCAATATTTACATTGGTCCAAAATTGTAAAAAGTGTCATACCTGTGATTCATCTTTAGAGTCGAACAAGGTATGGATTTTATTGTATAGTTACATTGGTCCAGCTTTGACCAATGTAAGTAATAGATATGCCATATTTGTGGAACTACTGTGTAAGGGGAGAATTACTGCCGTAGTCAACACCATTTTTTTCCCAATGAATGCAATCTCTGATCGTCGAGGTGGAAAGGCAGGGCTGCAATGGCATGGGACCCAGGGGACAGCAACGATCATTGTAGTAGTGCCCACTACTACTGCGATTCCTTCCATAGCAATCCCAAAAGTATGGCATATGCATATTTGCATTGGTTCAAACTAGTCTAGTGTAGCTAAGCAATAAAATCCATACCTGGATTCAGCTTTAATCATCTGATGAGGATGGAAGAATTTAACACACATCCCCAAGGTCTTGTCCTTGGACCTCTCCTATTCTCGATCTTGTAGTATAACTGTAGTGTCTACCTTCATTTTGTAAAGCGCTGGGAAAACTGTTGGCGCTATATAAATCCTGTATAATAATAATAATAATCCCAAAGATACCTACCAAAAAATGATAGCTGTTTGGAGTGCCTGGATTAGACAGTGAAGATGATTTTTTTTTCAATTACCCTCAGAACCAGCCTGGTTCTGTGGGTAATTGCCAGAGTCTGGGTAGAAGAGGTGGATTCCCCAGGTGGAAGCCTTTCTCTTTCCTACTCTGTCCACTCTTTTAAGACTTTTGCTCTTCTCCCTGCCTTCTTCCTGTTTTACTTCTTAACCTTGGCCTTTTTTTCTTGATTTTAATTCTTTCTCCACACTTTTGTAAGGACCATATGCCCATCATAGTATCTCATTCATTAATTCATTATCAACTAATTATTAAACTTGAAAAAAACTATTATCACCTTGCTTTGCTCCATCTCATATTACTATGTTGATAACCAAATGGCATACCTCCATTTACCATTAAATCCTTTGATATTTTGTTGACTGTATCTTCACTGGGAGGGTTTCCCTAACTTTATGTATCAAAGATACAACAAAAGAAAATCTCGCTATAGTAAGGGTAAATTCCACTTCTACCAGTTGTCACAGATGTCCCATGCAAAGGAAAGGCTTTCTATTTCAGCTCCAACTTTAAGTTTTAGGTTCTGTCACACTATAGGAGGTATTTACTAAAACTGGAGAACTCAGCATCTGGTGCAGCTGTACATGGTAGCCAATCAGCTTCTAAAATCAAATAACAAACAAGAATAGTGAATGCTCAGAGAAAAAAGCTGCTAGCACTTAAGAGTAAACCAACCCCAAAAAAACGAATATGATAATAGTGCAGCGCTAGGAAAAATTACAATCCAGATATAGATATTAATATAGAACTGTGATGAAGAAAACTGTATCTGACGTTAAGATAGTTGACAGTAAATCAAAATCACAAACTATGCATGAATAATACACCCAATAAAGTGACTAAAGTGCTATGTGAAAAAAAGGTAACAAAATCTGCATGATTCATAAAGTAATAAAAATAAAAATGAATAATTACAAATAAAAATCAGTCCATAAACAATAATAAAATAATGTGCATAGGACAGTCCAAACAAATTCCAAATCAACTATCTTAAAGTTATATACACTTTTCTTTGTCACAGTTATACAAGTACCTGTAATACAAATAATAATATTAATGTCTATATCTGGATTGTAATTTTTCCTAGTGCTGCACTGGTATCATAATAGCTTCTAACTTCAGCTTGTTCAATCAAGCTTTGACGATTAAACCTGGGAGATGATTGGGTTCTATGCAGAGCTGCACCAGATTTTGCACCATGCAATTTTAGTAAATAACCCCCCATCTGTCTTCTGGACAGTGGTTACCAGAACAGCAAGTGTAGATCCCCATCAAGAACACAGACAGCAAAAAAATTAGTTTCTAATTCCCCGAATCAAAAATAAAACATTAGCTAAATTAGGTAAAGTTGTAATTTGTTGGTTTGGGTGGGTGTTAAAGTAGTACCAAACGCCCAGGTTTTTCTTTAATTATTGGACTGCTAGCAAGCAATGAAACATGCTCCAGTAAATTTAAATGCCCCAGTGTGTTCCCAACATTCATATAATCTCCATGTCCTCTGTTGGACAAATAGTGCCACTGTCCGGAACCACCGAGGACACGGGAGGGGGGTGTAGCATACTCACTGGAGGATACAGGAGGGCAGAAGAGGAGTAGCTTGCCACTCAAGGCACTGTTGGGCTGCCATGCAAGGGTGACACCACAGGACAATTAAAAAAGGAGTCACCCAACAACACCTTGACAGTGGAGCTAGTGTCACGAAATGTAAGTCTATAAATCAGACTTAGGAGATGACCTGGATTGGGAAGAAAGAACACATACACACATGCACTTTAGAGAAATCACGAAATGTAAGTCTATAAATCAGACTTAGAGAAAAAGAAAAATGTTGGCTTTAGTGTCACTGTTAGCGAAGTGTTCCTAAACCCAAGACCCAGCATTCGCACTCACCTATATCTGGTCTCACCACAGTACACAGAACATGGAAATGCAATTACTTTAGTAAATATAAAATGCTAAATACCTTTTCTCATCAGCAGTTAGAGCAGTCTTGTAACTTCTATCAGTGTTCAGCTGAGCACTGGTTGAAGTTTGTAAGAGAAGTTTCCATTCTCTCCTGATTGTCTTATGAGACTGCAGGACCTCTGACCCTCTGTCCGAACACTGCTGATTGGACTTGTGCTGATCACTACTGTAACTCCCTCCTTATTGGCCTGCCTCATCGCAGGCTATCCCCACTTCAGTCTATCATGAATGCTGCTGCCAGACTCATCCACCTTACTAACCGTTCTGTATCTGCAACCCCTCTCTGCCAATCCCTCCACTGGCTTCCCATTGCCCAACGAATAAAATTCAAAACACTAACACTGACGTACAAAGCCGTTCATAACTCTGCCCCAAATTACATCACCGATCTTGTCTCCAAATATCACCCAAACCGTACTCTCCGCTCCTCGCACGACCTCCTATGCTCTAGCTCCCTTGTCTCCTCTTCCCATGCTCGTCTCCAGAACTTCTCCAGGGCTTCCCCCATCCTCTGAAACTCCCTACCCCAATCTATCAGACTATCGCCTACTTTGCTCACTTTTAGGCGCACCCTGAAAACCTATCTCTTCAGGGAAGCCTACCCCGCCCTCAGCTATTACTGGAATCCTCTACTCTCCCAACCACTCCATCCCCCACAGTTATTACCTTTTGTACCACTATCCCCTCCCTACTAGATTGTAAGCTCCAAGGAGCAGGGCCCTCGAACCCCTCTTGTATTGAATTGTATTGTTACTGTACTGTCTACCACCATATTATAAAGCGCTGAGCAAACTGTTGGCGCTATATAAATCCTGTATAATAGTAATAATAATCACATGTACTCTCCCGAGAAAAAAAAAAATATTTAGCAATATACACCAAACTGAGCATGTGCAGCTTTCCCCCAAGGCCCTGTTCTATCAGCAGATGGATGCATTAAAAGAACGGGAGGATGAGAGAAGACAGGATCAAACATCCTTTTTACATAATGCAGAGGATTAACCCCTTAGGTTCCACAGTGAGTATAACAAGCATGCTTTACTGCATATACAGACTGATTTTACTGTTGTGGGTTTAATAACACTTTAAGCACAGTCTATTACAGGGTTTCTCAACTGGGGTTCCGCCAGAGGGTGTTAGGGGTTCCTTGAGCGGTGAGCAATTTCTACTTCTCAGATAAGCTCCCACTGACACCATTGATCTTTTTAGCTATATGTAAGGGGGTAATTCATCCCAATGACCACAAGTGTAACAAACATTATTTGTACTGACCATCAAACTGATCATTATTGGGGTTTTTTGCCTTGTTTACTCTTGTATTTTGTATGTATTTGTAAAGCATAATAAAAAGAATTAAAAAAAAGTCAGGGGTTTCAGTTGTTTGACAGGTCCTATTGGCCACTGACCCAAGGAGTCTCTACCTCTATTTATCCATAAAGCCTTTTACTATGTTTTCTTTTTAAACTAAAGCTGGCCATACACTGGTAGATAGGTGCACGCATCAGGGATACAGCTGTGCCCACTGACATTCAACCTCTTTTAACCACTTCAAGTCCGGACACTTTTACCCCCTTCCTGTCCAGGCCAATTCTCAGCTTTCAGTGCTATCACACTTTGAATGACAATTGCGCAGTCATGCAACACTGTACCCATATGAATTTTTTAGCATTTTTTTGAAACATAAAACTTTATTTTGGTGGTATTTATTCACCACGCCGATTTTTTCTTTTTTTTTGCTATATAAATGAAAAAAGTCCAAACATTTTGAAAAAACTTGTTTTTTCTTATAAAATTTTGCAAATTAATAATCTTTCTTCATAAAGCTTGGCCATAATTTATTCAGTTATCTTTTTAGTAAAAATAAAATAACCCAAATTAGTTTATAACCAAAAATTATAATTTAAACAATTTTTTTTTACATTTTTTATTTTATTTTTCTATTATTATTTTTTTTATTTTTTTAAAGGACTGTCACCCTGGCAGTACAGTGTCGCCATAGTGACACTGTACTACTTGTGGGGGGTGATGAAGATTTTTTTTTTTTTTTTTTACACTGATTGCTTTTACACCCATAAAGGCTGTAAAAGCAATCATTTTTCCTTCTCTCTGACTGCATTCTTGCAGCCATTGAGAAATACTGTGAGAGCTGTGATTGGTCACAGCTTGTCACATGGTACATTGTTGTTGTGAATAGCCTTGTACCATGTGACCTCTGTGATCATTTACAGATTTCACTAGTAGTAAGCAATGATGTCAGCAAGTGACATCTTGCTTACTACTATTCATGTGATCACTGATTGGCCAATCAGTGATCACATTATCGGGACCTCACACAGAGGTCCTGTACAGCGATCGGACACAGCGGGCACCGGACCCAGACTGTAAATGCGGGCGCCGTTTATGAACGGCAACCTGCTCCTGCACTGCTCCCGTCCGGCCATTTATGTACATGGGCCGGACAGGAAGTGGTTAATAGCAAGCACATATATGTGATCTCTCTGGATCAACTGTGGGTATAGGATTATAACTTTTTTTTTTCTTTTTTAATGGTTGAACTGGATGGACTTTTGTCTTTTTTTCAGCCAGACTAACTATATAACTATATATAACTCACTATCATGAGTTATAGATATTGTAAATTTAGCAGGGGTTCCCTGAGACTGGAAGGGTATTTTAAGGGTTCCTCTGTGAAAAGGTTGTGAAATTCTGGTCTAGAACATAGGGCCTGTTAGGGGAGGTACAGGACAGGACTTACTTGTTGCAAGCTCTGTGTGGAAAAAAAATAACATTGAAAACTAACATACTGTGATCAAAGTGTCCCTGGATGTTTTATAACACTGTTGGATGATTCAGCCCTCTGGTGTCCATCCAAAACTAATGTTTCAGTTTTTATTGGACCTAGCTTTCAATTCAGAGGTTTGCCTGGGCCTGCTAGAAGGTCACCTTTGGACCTACTTGTGTGGTCTCATGTGTGAACCTATTTAGATGTGCAGATTAGAACTTTAGCTTGCATCATAGAAAGCAGTGCTTTGGGAGTGGTAAAGTTAGCCTTTAACTTGTGAAGGGTTACGCAGTTCCCAAACTGTATGATTAACTGGAATGGCTTTCATTTACTGAGCTGGAACCAATAAACCAGCAGCATATCAAATGTTGTTTCTTGTATCAAAAAGTCTGCACTCTGAGCACTGGAGTCTGAAAGTTTGGATGTGCATGCTGACTGCGGGTAAGAGGAACAGTTCTTATTCCTGACATTTTGATAGATGAGTGTCAGCTAACATCTGACCAAGCCTTGTAGTTTAGGAATCAATATTCAATCTATTACTATATGTTAATATATATTGCAGATTGCACTGCATAGAGTCTATGTGTGCCAGCATAGACAAAGAGATAACTAAGTATTCTGTACAAACATTACCATATTATTATTTTTATTATTATACAGTATTTATATAGCGCCAACAGTTCGCTCAGCGCTGTACATTACAATGGGAGACAGAACATGCGACAGTACAATAACAATACAGTGCGATACACGAGGGGTTTGAGGGCCCTGCTCCTTGGAGCTTACAATCTAGGAGGGAGGGGATAGTGGTACAGGAGGAAATAGCTGTGGGGGATGGAGTGGTAGGGAAGAGTGGAGGTGGTCGGGAATTAGCAGGGGGTGGGGTAGGCTTCCCTGAAGAGGTGGGTTTTCAGGGTGAACCTAAAGGAGAGGAGTGTAGGTGATAGTCTGATGGATTGGGGTAGGGAGTTCCAGAGTATGGGTGACGCCCTGGAGAAGTCCTGGAGGCGGGCATGGGAAGAGAAGATAGGGAACTAGAGAGAAGGAGGTCTTGTGAGGAGCGGAGAGTACGTGTTGGGTGGTACTTGGATATTAGGTCAGTGATGTAGTTTGGGGCAGTATGATGGACAGCTTTGTACATCAGTGTTAGGATTTTGAATTTGATCCGTTGGGCAATCGGAAGCCAGTGGAGGGATTGGCAGAGGGGGGTGGCGGAAACAGAGCAGTTGGTAAGGTGGATGAGTCTATGTATGTCAAACCATGGACTGTAGGCATGACATTTGAAATCTGATATTTTATTTATTGTAAGTATTTATATAGCACCAACAATTTGTGCTGTGCTTTATATACTGCACATTCACATCAGTTACTGCTTCAAGGAGCTTACAATCTAAGGTCCCTATGTCACATGCATACAGACATACACTAGGGTCAATTTAGACAGGGGCCAATTAACCTGCCAGCATGTCTTTGGAGTATGGGAGGAAACCCCCACAAGCTCAACAAGCAAACTCCATGCAGGCAGTGTCCTGGTGGGGATTTGAACTTAGGAGCCAGTGTGCTGTAAGCCACCATGCTGCTCCATGTATTTATAGGTTTCTACAAGTACAGTTTTCATACATAAGTCCTACAAGATATAAATACATGATATGGCTGTGCTCAAACCATGCTGTACTCTCAAGAAATTCTACTCCTTTGAACCTTTGAAACTCAAGGGAATCCTGGGAAACTATGGGCTGTTGGCAAGCATACCCCATTGTATTGTGGTTTTATGGTATTGGATATAAATAGCAGCATATTTGATTATAGAGTTTTTGTTTTTACATGATCCTTAAAGATCCTTAAAGAACATCAGACACCAATTATTTTACTATATATTTACATATCTTATTTACACATATCTCCCAATAGCCAGAAATGAGATAAATCAGCTTTGTGTACCAGTGCCACTGCAAACCAAGATATTACCATATACAAGTAGCAGTGGTACAGTGAGGGCTTTGTTAGAAACCACAGGGCCCCATTCAGCCAAACTGACATCCCCCCCCAAAAAAAACCCCCAAAAAAACAAAACAAAGCACAGTTTACTAGGCTTCAGTTATGAATGAACACAATAAGTGATCTGTACCGATCACTCACTGTGTTCATTCAGGAGAAAAAAAAAAAAAAGAAAGGGCTGGTAAATGTGACATATTTACTGAAGCTTTCCCCCGCTTCCCATCCTGAAGGATCCTGTTGTGTGCTTGTAACTGCTTTTAGGAAGGAAAGGAAGGACAGCGGCATCACTGCAGGGGTGGGGGCACATAGGGGGGCCTGGGCAGCAGGGGAAATGTATGGTGCACAGAGAGGGTGATGGGTGCAGTGGGGGAGCAATTACTGGAACCAATCCCTTGTATGGCTCTCTCTTCAGCAGCTGAAAGCCAGCAGGAGAAATAAGAAGCCAACTTTCAGCTGCTGCAGAAAAAGCCATACAGGGGATCAGTTCCAGTAATTGCCCCTGCGTCTACCAATCACCCTCTCTGCCCACATCTGATTCACCTAGCTGGGCACCGTACAGGAGGACTAGTGGTACCCCCCTCATCTACAGCCCTGGTTACACTGCATATAACATGTTCAGAGTGCAGAGCAGTGGGAGGGACCCAGCAGACCCACTTATAACCAGCTGCTCCCAGAATATTACTGGAGACAGACACAAGACCAGTCACTCTGCACAAGGGGAGAGCAGCTGTGATTGATATTTAATACAGGAAGTTTCTGCACAAAGGCGAAGTTTCATTCTGGATTGCTGCACAAAAGCAGCCTGTTGAAGTGGTTGGCTATTGTGATTGGCTGCTAGACTCATACGCTGTCACAGGGGAGGAGGTCACATGCTCCCCTGTACTCAGAAGTACTAAATATATTGGAAGCCGCTGCAATGTAGACAGGAGTAGCGAGGAAGTGCGGGCAAGGTGTGCATGTTGAGCCCTGTTAAAACAATGTGGACATCTCCAAATCTGGGAGAAACAAAGATCATGAGCCCCAGAAAGTTAACCAACTGGGAATTTCAAGCTGCAAAGCAAAGGAAGAGAAGAGGATTACAGCGTACGCCCCCATCCACATACCTTTATCAATGTCCACTTCCATATTGCCTATTAAACACTCCAGATATGCCAGGCATGGTATTAGAGCCATGCTACACAAAGCACATTCATTTAGTTACTCTACAGAGAAGGAATTTCTTTCTGGCCAAGGGATTTCGTATACTGGCATGTAAAATATTCATTTTGATGCCAAGATGATAAATCCACAGATTGGGATCTTTATTCATCTTGTATTGGGCAGTATGCACTCAACAGGGTTTTCATTTTGGGCTCGCGGCTCCGGTGTAGAATGAGACAGAGACAGCTGCTGAAGGGTGTAGCAGAACACAGCACATCATTCTCTTACTAGTCACAGTCCACAATACTTCTTAAAGTGAACAGACAGCTGTGTGGGGACTGACAGCTGCTTCTCTTAGACAGCTGTAAGTGGACTGGTGCTGATTGCTGCTGGTTTAATATTTAAAGCTGATTCAGTAAATATTGTCCTAATACAATAGATATTCTCTCGGTGGGTTTTGTGTACCATATTTTCCGGCGAATAAGATGACTTTTTATACTTAAAAACATACCCCAAAAATTGGGGGGGGTCTTATACATGGGGTATACAATGTGAAACTTTAGTTCGTTTGAGCCAAGCTGGTTCAAAACGAATGTCCCTAATCTGTCAGCCTGCTGGATGTGCGGTAATACTGTATATACGGTAGCTTCAGCTACATACAGTATATACCGCGCTGAGCCAATCACGGCGAACGATGTATTCTATTAATGAATACAAAGCCTGCTCGGATTGGCTGAGGTTGTGACATCATCAGCCCGCCTCTCTGACTCAGTCGCCTTATACGCCGGCAAATACGGTATTTCTTTCAGATCTGTGCAGTAATACAGTATTAAAATTTGCCTCTGTGCAGGAGCTTCCTGTAATAGAGACCAGTCTCTGCTGATCGCTCTCCTTGTACAGGGTGACTGGTCTTGTATCCACCTCCCCCAACCTGTCTTTTTCTGCAGGCAGCCTGTAGTGGGTGGCACAGTCTGTAGTGGGTGGCACAGTCTGTAGTGCTTGGTCCCTACTACAGCTCTGCTCTCTACATAGGCTTCGGGGAGCACCGTGATGACATCACAACTACTTTTACAAGGTAATAACTGGCTTTACATGAGCATTTGGTGCACGCAAAGTGGATTTATAATCTTTGCAGCTCATGAGAGGAATATATTTGAATTCATTTTTTGTGCCCATAGTTAAAGCAATTCTAAAGGTTAATTTTTTTTCTTTGGAAAATAACAAGCATGTTTATACTTACCTGCTCTGTGTAGTGGTTTTGCACCAAGCAGCCTGGATCCTCCTCAGGACCCCCGCAGGCTCTCCCGGCCCCTCCTTCCTGTTGGGTGCCCCCACAGCAAGCAGCTTGCTATGGGGGGCACCCGCTGCTCTGTGTGTCCATTAACACAACACACAGAACCACAACTTGGCCCTGGCCCCTCTCTCTCCTCAATGGATGACTGGCTGTGATTGACAGCCAATGGCTCCCGCTTACTGTCTGAGCCAATAAGGAGGCAGAGACCCGGGAGAGCTGAGGCTGTTGTTCACATCGCTGGATCGCGATAGGGCTCAGG